CTCCAAATCTTCCAATGGGTTCCAACCACCCACCAATCATCTCTTTATTATTTTATTTTCATTTTTAAGGGTTTTGGCTTTTTTGTTTTTTTTGTCAGTCATGGGGCTTGAACTCTGGTCTTGGGTGCTGTCCCTCAGCATTTCAGCTCAAGGCAAGCGCTGTGCCACTTGAGTTGCAGTACCACTTCTGGTTTTCTGGTGGTTTATTGGAGATAAGTGTCTCACGGACTTTCCTGTCCAGTCTGCTTTGATCCATGATCCTCAGATCTCAGCCTCCTGAGTAGCTAGGATTACAGGTGTGAGCCATGGTGCCTGGCCATTTTTATTATTTCATTTCTACCTACAACTATTCTTCTACGTAACCTTGGTAGCTCCAAGGAATCAGACTTTGCAGAATCACTTCTTCCATGCTACACAGTTTGATAAAAAAGTGCAGCCTCCAAATCTTTCCAAGGGCAGGCTGGGAAGGTGGCTCAGTGGTAGAGCGCTTGCCTTGCATGCTCCAGGTCCTGGGTTCGATTTCTCAGCACCACATAAGCAAAAAGAAAACAGCTGTAAGTGGTACTATGGCTCAAGTGGTAGAGTGCTAGCCTTGAGCTGAAGAGCTGAGGGACAGCGCCCAGGCCCCATGACCGGACCCAAAAAAAAAAAATCTTTCCAAGGTCTTCTCTACCTTTAGAACACAATAAATATCCATTGCCATCTGTCCTCTAAAACTCAAGTGGTCCTTTACCACAAAATATATCTGACCACTCCTCTCTCTGAAATACCACAGGATTACATATATTCTTCCCTTACAGACAGGACATAATAGGTATAAAGGTGCCTATCATTGTCTTTTATAAAACTTAAACACAAAGAAACAGAGGCTGAATCTTATAGTCTTCACAAGTCCAAAAGACTCACAGACTCTTAATATGTTTTTTTTTTCTAAAATGAGAGGCAATAAGGGAAGTTTCTTTTCTTAAGTCTTAGAAGTAGTTGTAACAACATTTTATTATAGATATGTGATTTGTACCTTCGGATAGGAAACTACTTCCAAACAGATTTATCTTTCCTTATCTTTCCTCTGAAGCATATATTATTCTAAAATCTCTCACAAGAAATACATAAATAGCTTCTGATCCAGAAGAGAATAAAAAAATGTGTGAAAGGTACCCTGCCCCTCCTCATGAAGAGTAAGAGCTAGAGGAAGGTATTTGTTTAAAAAGAGAAATAAATGTGTAAAAAGTAAGAGAGAAAGATCATGGTAAATTTGTACAATCATGCCATAGTACACTGATGGATCAATCTTCGTATCTCACAATACTCCTTTTTTCAATGTCTAAGATGTCCACTGGCTTTTCAAGGAACATTTGATACCGACTACATGGTACAGCTGGATATCAAAAGAGTAAAGCAAAGTCCCTGCCTTCAAGGAACAGACAGCCAGGTCTGGAGTGCGGACAGTTACATATATAATGGGGCTAATGGTTTGGGGTATTTTGCTGGCTTATTTGTGAGCTCTGACTAGCTCTACCTCTTGAGCTACATCTCCAATTTCAGCTTTCTGGTGGTTAAATGTAGATGAAGAGTCTAGAGGATTTGTTCAGGCTGCCTTCAAATTTTGATCCTCATATCTCAGCTTCCTTAGAAGCTAGGCATGAGCCACTAGATGGTCGGCTTAATCAGAATTTTTAATAATACAGGATCTAAGAGGAGAAATGAGAAAGGAGCAGTCTAGAAAATCTTGACAAAGAAAGGGGACATCTAATGGGAGAAGAGGAGTAAACAATACACCCAAAGCAAAAAGATATATATCCTAGCACATTAGAGCCTTTCTGATTCACAAGGCCAGCAGTACCTCTGTTTCCTAAGGAGCTTGTTAGACATGCAGAACCTCAGTTCCTTGACTAGACCTACAACATGCACATTTTGTCAAGATTCACAGAGAATCACGCCCACCACAGTTTGAGAAGCCCTGCTATAGAAGTCCTCATAGTAGTCTAGTTTCACTAAAATATAGAACACAATGGCATGAGCAGGAGGGGAGAAGAGAGGAAAGGGACCCACTTAAGATGTGAGGCTCCAGAGGCACTTCAGCTTCCAAACTTTCTATGCTAGTATCAGGACCTTAACTTAGAGCCAAGGAAGCCATCAGTGCTTAACTAAGTAAGAAAACAACATCCAGTTACCAGGACACAGTAAAAAAGAAGACTGTATTGAGGCTGGACGAAGGGGATCCATTCCAAATGAAGCAGGTCTCACAGGATTGAATCATCTGTGCCATCAATACATGTAGGAGGGTAGTGAGAATGAAACAGGAATGAAATCTCAAGTATAAAGATGTCCAGATGTTTTCAGGAAACCAAACACGATCCTTCACAAAAACAAGCAATACAAGCACAGATTTGGGAGAAAAGCTGAGTCCAATTTGAGATGCACTTTAAGTATTTGTAATTCAATCATGTATCTAGTAGACAGTCTATATCTAGGAGGAGAAGCAATGCTGTCCTCATAAAGGGAGACAGGCTAAACCCTTAAAGCAAAAAAAAGGTTACTCCAAGGATGGAAAAAAAGTAAGAAACATAAAATGACTAATACCCCTAAGGACATGAACATTTGATACATTTACCTAGGATAAAAGAAGCAACAAAAAGAGTAAGGAAAAGATATTCAAAAGGGGCATCTTCAATACTGGGAAAGGTTTCAAGAAGGAAAAAATAGAAGACAGAGTAAATGTTAAGGCCTACAATGCAGATTTGATCATTAAGATATGCTTTGCAAAAATTAAATAAACATAGATTTCACTAATAAATGACTAAGAGGATACACAGTATATCTATGGTCCTTCCCGAATAATAAAAGGTGAATTTTAGTTAATTTTTTCAGCATTTTCCAATTGTTCCTCAAGGAACCTGAGCTTTATATATTTTTTAAGTACAAAAAAAAAAGATAATAGTAGAACTTCTGTCATGGGTATGACTGCAGTGTATAGAGTGAATGAAAAGTGAAAAGACAAAGGAGACAAGATCAGACAGGGAAGAGACTGTTTTGTTCTTCAAGTAGGAAAGATTTAGGTATACTTACAGGCTATGAAATTGAAGGCTATAAAAAGTGTTCAGAGAAGGGCACTGGTGGCTCACACTTGTAATCTAGCTACTCAGGAGGCAGAGATCTGAGGATCATGGTTCAAAGCCAGCCCAGGCAGAAAAGTCAGTGAAACTCATCTCCAATAAACCACTAGAAAACTGGAAGTGGAGCTGTGGCTCAAGCAGTAAAGCTCACCTTAAGCTGAAGAGTGCAGGGACAGTGCACAAACCCCGAGTTCAAGCCCCACAATCGACCAAAAAAAAAAAAAGTGTTCAGAATTCAGGAGAAAGAAAATATATATTCCTTTATTGATCTGGGCACACAGTGGTCAGCAAGACAAAGTCTTACCCTCAAGTAGCTTACTTTCTACTAAAGAAACTTAACAAATAATAACTGAAATGTGGACAAAACTAATAAATAAGATCATTTTTAAATTGTTTGCTGAGGTAAAGCTTCTCTGAAGAGACATTTAGGTCCCTAATGACAAGAAACCAGCTTTAGAAAGGCTTGCTACCTCTGCCTAATAGATAATGAAACTGAGGTTCAGACAACTTAGGTCAAAGGTAAGATTATGCAGTGATGAAACTGAACTCAGATCAACAGACTCTTTACTAAATTGTATTCACTCTATTCAATTTTCCTCAAATGGAACAGTGAAGATCAAAGATAATGTTGACCCTTCACTAACTTACCACCCCCAGATGGTAAGGACTAGAGAAAAAACAGTCATCAGCACAACTTTCTCAAAAGACACTGAAAATCCAGATTTGTAGTTCTATGATAACAGAGGCATGATTTCTGCCTGAAGATCAACTTTCAGGCCCCACTAAAAACAAACAAAAAGCCTGCAAGCTTCAATTTACAAGTAGGCTATATTCCAAAAATGTAACTAAAATGTTAAGAAATCCTATATCTTCTACACATATAATTTTTACGCAGAGATTATGTTTCCAGGCTAGTCCATGGAGAGTCCACATAATCACAGTAATAACAACAACAATAATAATAAAGCATTTACATATCATGCCCTGTATCAAATGCTTTTATAGAAAACTCAGGCAATACTCCTAACAACACTATTATTGCTCCAATCTTGTAACTATGGACACTGAGGCCCAAAGGGGTTCAGTGATTTGTCCAATGGCAAAACAAAAACTGAGGAGCCCAATCCAGTTCCCCTATTCTGATTTATTAGTTATTATTTCTGCATGTTAAATCCAATGTGTCATTTGTCTGCAAGCCTGTCATAACAGTTTCTCTTTACTGCAGAACCTAAGCACCTATCTCCCCTTTTCTGGTGGTTAGAATACTATGCAAAGTAACACCCTCACATCCTCACCCTCTGCCTCCAAAACATCAGACATCCCAGTAACCTCAATCAATGGCGGGCGTTACTCATACGCTTGACATCCACTGAGAATTTAACCTTTACACCCCACAACCAAACAGAGTGCCTGGCGTGAATGTGCCCACTTGTTTCTGCAACCAATCAGATCCCACGGTGACCAATTCCCAGCTCACCGGGGCACCTAAGGAAATACGGTTGTGAAGTTCCATTCAACTCAGGCAAAAGCGCAAACAGCAGACGGTTACAGGGGACCCACGAGTGACCCCACGAGGGGCAGCCCCCAAGCCGGGGTGGGCTCCCACCTGCCCTCGTAGCAGGCCCCCCATCCACGCCCCCCGGGCCTTTCCCGAAAGGCGGGAGGGCAGGCATTGAGGCCGGCAGCCTGCCGTGCCCTAGGCCATGACCTTCGCGAGGCGCGAGCCCGTCCTCCGCACCACCGCCCCCTCCCCGGCGGAGAGGACCACCCCAAGCCCCGGAACACCGGGTCCCCGAGCGGCGAGGGCCCCCGGATTCCGCTACCCGGTCCCACGCCGATCACGCTGGCCGCTGCCCGGTGGAAGGGAAGGTTCCGGTTACTCACCCCGCAACCGGCCAGGCGCGAACGGCCGGCGGACAGGGGGCAGCCAAGGGCCGGCAGGGACCGCTCGCGAGGAGACGCAGCGAGAGCGGGAGGCGCGGCGTGGCTCCGGCGCCCAGGAGGCGGCCGGCAGGTCTCAACAGCGCGGCCATGGCACGGCTTTCCCCACGGTGAACGCACGTTCCGCCAGGAGGACAGGAGGAGCACGTGACACCGGGGTCGCCCGGCGCGGGAGAGACCAAAGTCGGAGCGTGCGCGGCGCCGGGGGGAGGAAACAGGCTTAGTTTAGATGACAAACCAGAAGGAAACACCTTTCCTGAGGTCCCAGGGATCCCACCACTTAGTGTATCCACCGCGAGGTCTGTTTGGTATCGAAGGAGGTTTGTTTTCCCGACTTAAATCCTTCCCTGAGCCTGTCGGGCATGCTGAGCTCCCCTCACCGCGCTCGTCAGTTGGTAGAGTCTCAAAGGTCGACTCCGCCCCTGTCAGCGCAGAGGCTCGCGGGGGGCCAACCAGAGCGCACGCGGTGGGCCGTCGCGAGGAGCCGACCGTGAGCCTCGCGGAGTGTGGGAGGGGCGTGCGGAAGTTGCCTCTGACGTCCCGCAGTTTCGAGAACCACGAGTTCCCGCCGCGCTCGCGGATTGGACGGGTCCGGGCTCAGACACACTGGCCTGCGGCGACGCTGGGGGCCTTCGCCCCGGGCGGTGCGCCCTCCACGGCTCAGTGTGATGTGATTCGTGGTCGGGCCGTTGGGACCGCGTGGAGGAACACGCAAGTCTGACACGAAGTCTCACACGGCGCCTCGCTTTATGAACCAGGAACCCTAAGTCCTCCTGGGACTTGAACTCAGGACCTTGAGCTTTTTAGCTCAAGGCTGGAGCTGTCGGAGTAGAGCCGCACCTCCACTTGGAGCTGTTTGGTGGATAACTGGAGTTAAGCTTCTCAAGGACTTCCTTGCCCTGGCTGGCTGGGAATTGTGATCCTCAGCTCTCAGCCTCCCGAGTGACCTACCAGCACCCAGCCTTTTTTTTTTTTAAATACATAGTGTCAGAGGCTTGACTTTGTCCCACAAGAAATGTACTCTTAGCCTGACTTACATGCTTACGTAACTGTAACCCCTTTGTATTTCACCTTTATAATAACAATTTAAGGGGGGGGAACACGTCTCAAATACATAGTTTCAGTGGTACTCACTGAACACTTGAAAGTGAACTCTACAACTTGTGGATAGGGACAGGAGGGAAAAACTGGGAGAGAGCAAGGGAAGTGGTGACATTGTCCAACAAGAAATGTACTCTTTACTTGATTTATGTACCTGTACCCCCTCTCTACATCCTTTTATAAAATAAAATTTTAAGGCATAATTTAAAAACTAATTAAACTCACTCTCTTTGCAGTCTAAGTGCACATTAGTATAGAAAGAAGTTACTGATAAACGAATTTGCTCATGCCTGTAATTTTAGCTACTCAGGAAGCAGAGATTGTGAGAATATCGGTTTGAAACCAGCCTGAGAAGACAATTCCAAGAAATTTACCTCCAGTAAACCAGCAAAAAGCCAGAAGTGAATATGGCTCAAGTAGTAGAGCCTCAGTCTTGAGTAAAAAAGCTAATCAAGAGTGCCAGGCCCTTCAATCTCCAGTAAATTTCCACCCCCCAAACACACACAAGAAAAAGTCATGTGCTGGTAGATCATATCTGTTATCCTTGCTACTAAGGAGTCTGAGGTCTGAGGATCAGGGTTCAAAGCCAGCAGGGCCAGGAAAGTCCATGAGACTTCCCTCTAATTAACTACAGAGAGCTGGGAATGTAGCTTTGTGGTAGAGTACTTGTTTAGCATGTATGAAGCCCTGGGTTCTATTCCTCAGTACCAAATAAAGAGAAAAAGCTGGATGTGGTGCTGTGATTCAAGTGGCAGAGTACTAGCCTTGAGCAAAAGAAGCTTAGGGACAGTGGCTCAGAGTTCAAGCTCCAGGATTGGCAAAAAAATAATAATAACCACCAGAAAACCAGAAGTGGTGCTGTGGCTCAAAGTGGTAGATTGCTAGCCTCCAGCAAAAAGAGCTCAGGGACAGCTCCAGGCTATACATATTGTGTGTGTGTGTGTGTGTGTGTGTGTGTGTGTGTGTGTGTGTGTGTGTGTGTGTGTAAATAGAAGAGTGAAAGTTGTTGAAATTCTTTTAAGAAGGAGCAGTGGAATAGGGGAGAGTTGAGTAAGGGAGCATGATAGAGGGGATTAGATTGATCAGAATATGTTGTATACACGTGAAGATAACATAATGAAACCTTTGTACTACAAAATGTATGCTAATAAAAACTTCACAAAAGCCAGACACCGGTGCTACTTAGGAGGCTGAGATCTTGAGGATCATGGTTCAAAGCCAGCCAGGCCAAGAATGTCTGTGAGACTTATCTCCAGTTAACCACCAGAAAACCGAAGTGTATGGCTCAAGTAATAATAGAGTGCTTGCCTTGAACTGAAGAGCTCAGGGACAGAGCCCAGTCCCAGAGTTAAAGCCCCATGACTGGCAAAAAAAAAAAAAAAAAGAACACAAGAAAAGAAAGTTACCATCTGGGGCAGAGTGAGTTGGGGTTGTTGGCATAATCCCAGCTAAACAGTATCAGTGCCCAAAGGTGGCAGGTAAAAAGTGCAAGGCCTACCTAACTGACAAATAACTAAAGCAAAATGGTCTGGAGGTATCATTCAATGGTAGAGTCCTTGCCTAGCAAACCTGAGGCCCAGAATTCAAACCCCAGTAATGGGGAGGGGCAAAGGGTGTTTTACCAGTCTGACACAGACTTGAATGAAGGGTGGAAAGAGGCCTAAAGGAGTTTCTGGAGAGGGAAAAAAGTACTACAGTTTTAGAGACCAGCAATTTCAAAACTTTGAGGCAACAATAGAGGTAACTCATGAAAGAATGGTAATAAGGAACACTGGATGAAAGGAAGGGGGCAAGGGGTGGACAGGAGATTGTGCCAGAGATTATAGGTGGCCTTTGACTTTTACTTCATTTCAAAACTTTTAACTTTAATTCAGAATGAAATGGGAAATCATCAGAACGTTTGCTCTGTACGAATTTGCCTTTTTAAATGGTCATTCTGGCTTCCTGTTTGCTGTTTGGAAAGGTATGAGGAGAAAGGGGGAGGCCATTTCATAATCCAGACTGAGATGCTGGAGGCGTTAATCCAGGTGGAATGGTGCCAAAGGGTCAAAGTAATACTCTATTCAAATAAGAGAAACAAAAAGTATTTACTTACAAATTGGCAATGGGCACAATCCAAGGATGCCTCCAAACTAGGCTTGAACCACTAGGGAGATGAAGATCGCACAGGTGTAAATGGGGAAACGGAGGAAGGAGGTTTAAAGGTGAAATAACAATTATATTACAAATCAGAATCTCTGCGCTTCTGACCCTGAACATTTGGGATAAGGAAGCCTCAGTCTTAACTGTTGTTACGTTTTATGATCAAGGGTAAACCTCACAAATTTGGATTCTCTTCCTGTCTCCCTTTTTTTGGTACCAGGCCTTGAACTCAGGGTGTGGTTGGTGTCCGTTAGCTTTTTCACTCAAGGCTAGTACTCTGCCACTTGAATCACAGTTCCATTCCTAGCTTTTTGCTGGTTAATCGGAGATAAGGGTTTCATGAGACATAACTGCCCAGTTTGGCTTCTAACCATAATCCTCAGATCTCAGCCTCTTGAGTAGCTGGAATTACAGGAGTGAGCCACTGCCGCCTGGTCTTACTTTGAATATTAACTAACGTAGTTCTGTGTGTATGTTTGTGTGTGTGAGGGGGGGTGTTTGGGACGGGGGGGGGGAGAACAGGGCAATGTGGGTTTTGTAATCAGAACCTATATGCTTGGCTTGACCCCTTTAGGGTCTTGGGTTTTCGGTTGTTGTTGTTGTTGTTTTTTGTTTCTTCAGTCATAGGGCCTGAACTCTGGTCTTGACTTGGGCGCTGTCCTTCAGCTGTTCAGCTCAAGGCTAACACTCTACCATTTGAGCCACAGCGCCACTTCCAGATTTTTCTGCTTATGTGGTGCTAAGGAATTGAACGCAGGGCCTCATGCATGCAAGGCAAGCACTCTACCAATGAGCCACCTTCCCAGCTCCAGCATCCTGGTTTTGAACCCTAGCATTGCCAAAATTTCATGAAGAAAAAGAATTTAAATTTGGACTTCATTAAGTTCACTGCTCAGTAATACAATATGACTCAGAGTTTGGAAAACATCATATTTAATCAATCATATCAGTATAAACATAAGGAAATACAAGCACCAGGGAAACAAATGTGCCAAACTGTAGTGTTAAAAGCCCAACACTTTTTCAATTAGCAATATAATTGATTGATTCTCCAACAAATACTTGCTCAAACATCAAAACTTCCAGGTGTTTCTAAATAGCTTTATATAAAACATTAAGCATCAGAGAGTACTATCTTTACAACTTGAAACAAATTTTCATTGAAAAACAAAGTTTAAAAAGAAAGAAAATTTATCTTTGAACTTCTTAGTTGTAAAGATGGTACACAACATCCTAAAGGAGAAATCACAGTGCAGTGAATATGAAAGAGAAACAATTTTCTCTTTGGTCAACGAACTATTTTTCCTTCCAGTAGTTTATCAAAGCCAGGCACTGGCAGTTATAATCCTAGCTACTCAGGAGGCTGAGATTTAAGGTTTACAGTCCAAGGTCAGCCCGACAGGAACATCTGTGAAACTCTTATCCCTAATTAACAAGGAAATTTTTAAGTGGAAGTATGGCCAGCCTTGAGTGAAAAAGCCAAATAAGAGCATAAAGCCCTGAATTCGAGTCCCATACCAGCACACACACACAAAAGTTTATGAAATAAAGGATCAAAGAATAAAATTAATTTAGTCTCCTATTTTCACACAAGCATCTTTAAAATAGGGTGAGCAAAGAATCAAATGATTGCCTTGAGTCTAAATGCCTATTATGCTTAAAAGCCTTAACATATTTTAAGCAGCAGATTTAATCTTTAGCTGTGATTGTATTTTTACTTAAGGCAACTTATCTGTTGAATCAAGGGCTTCTGCCATCTGTGACTACATTTTTCATATCCAAATTTATTCATGTATGTAATTCCCAATTATTCAAAAATATTCCACTTGAATTCTTGTTTGCATACAGTCTGGAGATTCTCATTATA